CCCCCCCAGGGGGTGATTTCTCACTTTCTATCTCTCTGTCTCTGTCTGGCGAGTGCACGCGCCCTATAGCGAAAACCTCTCAAAAAAAAAAAAAAGAGTATTCCTAGAATAGTCTTTTCTTAATAATGTTTTATTCTTTCATTTCTTCTTTGGGCATGGCGATTCCCATACTTGTAACTTGACCTATGTCCCTTCTTTTCCCAGCTCTAACTATCAGTTGGCTGGTTGCCTTTTGGTACCAGAAGTACAACCTCTCTTTGGGGTTAGGTGTTTAGGGGGGAAATAAAAATTGATCTAGATGTTTTCTGGGATGAGTAGAAATTCTGCCCATGTCATGGAGAGATGAACATAGAGAGGTATCCAATAATCAGTAAGGCCACAAAAGCAATGTATTAAGGAGAGTTATCAGTCAGATTGAAAGTTTCGGATGTAAAAGCTCCGAAGTTTGTTTTTTATTATAGGCTACCCACCTTTTTGTTCTGAGACCCCTCAAGAGACATATAAGAAGGTGATGAACTGGAAAGAAACTTTGACTTTTCCTCCAGAAGTTCCCATCTCTGAGAAAGCCAAGGATCTAATTTTGAGGTATCAGAACATCTCCCTCCTGCCCAAGCTTTTACATGAGTGAATCCTTTTTTTCTTTTAAACTTGTATTATCTCCTGTGTCTGCCCCTGTTTCCTCCTATTCCTTTCTTTAAAAAGAGATAAAAAGAGCTTTCTCCCTTTCTTTTTCTGAAGAAACTGTTTGAGGTATGCTGAAAAGTCTCTCTTTTCCAGATTCTGCTGTGAATGGGAACGTAGAATTGGAGCCCCTGGAGTTGAGGAAATCAAAAGTAATTCTTTTTTTGAAGGCGTTGACTGGGAACATATCAGGTACACCCCTATAAAAACTTCTAGGATTATCTCGGGAAGTTCGTAGTTTGCTTAATACTAATTTGGGAGGACCGTTATTGACCAGCCAAGAAAGGGAAGAGAGCATCTTAGAAATTTGGATTCTAGGCTGGTCCTGTGGCCTAATAGTCAAGGGAGCTGGATTCCACATGGCCAACTGTGTGGTTCAAATCCTGGGCCCGGCAGTTGAGAAATAATGCCAGACACATGCCCAGAATCCCTACAGGATGGAGAAATTCAGGAGGAGGGATTATGGCATGGCTACACCTGACTGGAGAGTGCTTTCTCCAGCTCCCTCTCTTCCTCTCTCCCTGTAAGAGAGGTGAGTACACACACCCTCTGGCAAAAACGAAGAAAGAGATTTAGATTCTTTCCCTGATTGTCATTCATGGTGAAGATTAGGAGTTGGGCTTCCTGTCAGCCATGTGCCATGGATATATGAAATCCAACAGTTATTTACAAATTGCAGTGAGCTTTCGATTTCATGGAGAAGGAAGCATCTAAGAAGGATGTTACCTTTGCTTTTACCTGGAACTCAGCATCCCCTCTAGAGTTGAGGGCCACCAGTGGGACTATTCCTGCCTGCAGGGTAGAGGCCATCACTGGGAAGCCAGAGAGGAAGGTGGGGAAGGAGGATTGGGGGCAGGGGGTGTGCAAAGGAAGCGGAAAAGGTAAGGGGGAGTGAAACTGCCCAGCAGGAGTGGTCCACGCAAGACTGTCTGCTGTAGGCCAGACCTTCATACAGCATATTCATTGGTTGCTAAACAAAAGGTGAAAAAGTTGTCATGTATGTTAAAATTGTGTTCCGATTTAGATCCATTGCCTCTTTTTTTGCCCCTTTTTAGCTACCCTGCTTACTGCCATTTCCAGGGTAAGAAGGGCAGAGTCCTGTGTGGGGGTACTTGGAGTTCAGTGTCCATTCTTAGACAGAGCAGGTCACTGGGAGACTGCATTAACCTTAATTTTAGTTTTTCTTTATTATTCCTGTCTTCTTTTTTCTAGCCGTGAATGAGTTGTCAGTTGTTCATCATAATTTATTTTGTTCAGATATAGTCATTGGCTTGATCGTTCAGTGTTCACAAGCTCTTCGTAGGGGTAAATTCTGCCTGCCAGTGAATGACCCTCACATGCCAGACCATGGATCTTTTTAGAGGAAGGCTTGATCAGTGTGATCTGTAGGATTACTAACCGTAGTAATTGTGGCGTGTCTGTTCTTGGCAGAGAGAGACCTGCTGCGATATCTATTGAAATCAAAAGCATTGATGATACCTCAAATTTTGATGAGTTTCCAGAATCTGATATTCTTAAGCCAACAGGTAATACCACCAGCATTACCTCCTGCTGCCTTATAAACCCACCCCCCCACACTTTTGGGGTAATATTTCTAAAATAGGGCAGAGAATACGGAGATGAACTTCATTCCTCAGGTCCTTTGTAAGTATTTTCCCAGTGCTGATGCTGAATAATATCAAAACCTCATTAAATGGAAAATGAATACAAACTCTCATGTTTAGACCACCTTGCTGGATGGGTACGTCACAGAAATCTGCTCTTTTGTTATTTACCAAATTAAAAGTTAATTAACCCAAAATGACAAGAATGGGAAAATAAAGCTTTTAAAATATTTGTGAAGAATATGAGGGTCAAAGAAAAAAGACAAGCAAATGTATAAAATTTGCAGAGGGAAAAATAACCAAATAGAACCGGTATGTCCTACAGAATGTCTTGTCTTCAGTACTCGGTCCATCAGAGTAAGGCAGTGAATCAGCTCTCACATTTGTTTCTCTCCCAGTGGCCACAAGTAATCACCCTGAGAGTGACTACAAGAACAAGGACTGGGTCTTCATCAATTACACGTACAAACGCTTCGAGGGCCTGACTGCAAGAGGGGCAATACCTTCCTACATGAAAGCAGCAAAATAGTGCCCTTGCCGTGGAATCCTAAACGGAGCAGTTCTTTTGTCCAACACCTTGGTTTTCCTGTCACGCTCTTTTGAAAGAGATTCCAAAAAGTTAATGGAACCTATCAACCTGTCATAATAGTATCCTGGAATGTGGATTATAAGCGGATTTTCTCCGTAATGCATTGGAAAAACCTAACAGGACAGAAACAGCCATTTTTGCTGCATCAGCCATAAACCAACTGTCCTGCTTCTTGAGAAGCATCGTGAGCCAATTTGATAAGTGTTTTTAAAAGAACTTGAGTCTTCCTAAGTTCATCGGAACCAAGGGGGAAACAGCCAGCATCCAGCATTACTGAGATTGTGATGCGTAGTCATCAAGTATCAGCCAATTCCTGTGATTTGTGACAGCTATCTGCCACGCCCACCAAGTATTTCTTTTATCCTTACGGCTAAAAGTCCCATATTACCAAGGAAATAAGCAATAACGGAAGTCTCAGAGCCAGCATTCTGGCTGGAGGGAATGAGCCACCGCCCGTGGGGTGGTAGTAGTTTCCCCCATACCTCAGCTTCAGGCAGGTGGCTTTTACAGCCCCCCACTCATGGTGCACTTTATTTATGGTACTAGGATAAAGACCCTCACTCCATTGATTTATCTCCTCCCTCCTGCCCATCTAAAATATAAAATGCTCATGCTGCTTTTCTGAGTGTTGTGGAGGAATACCAGCTCCATCCATTGTTGCTCTTAGCAGGCCCAGAAGACCCCTGGACATCACCAAGGAGGCCTGGATCATAGGGAAAAGCCTTCATTTTCTCTTCACGGCTGTTATCAGAAAATCCCTGAGGCAGATGTTGCCATGGCTCAGCAGTACCTGCACATGCTACCGGGAGGAACTCAGTGTGTTCCTGGGAAGACAGCGAGGGGCCCAGGCTGAGGCAGGAGGCCTGGAACCCTCTTGGCTAAGGTGCCGTTTCTACTTCTGCAAGGTCTCCAAGAGCCGCCTTGGAAGTGGTGAAGGAGCCGGCCCAGTGGGAAGTGCAGAGTCAGCTGAAAGGTCCTTGTGAAATTCACCCAATCCTGGGGCAACGGTTTTGTCTTCTGCCTTGGTATTTCTCCTCTCCCACCTTTAAGTAGCCATTTTGCCTTGGAATCATGATTACAGTTTTTCCTTTGCAGATGCCTTCCTGGAGGATACTCCTCCCTACGGAAAACGGTCACCTGCAGCTTGCGCTGAATGGGCCTTTCCGCTGTGGTGTTCTCTAACGAGAGACCTGAATTTTAGCACAAGTGCCTTCTCTTTCACAGCTGCCACCACCTTTAGAGGAATTTTGCTGCGTCAGAATAATGTGGAGGCCCCATATTACTGCATTATTACTTTTTAAAAAAGTTTTGATAACTCTTAAAGCGTCGTTTGCACCGGTGTGGTAACTTTGCCTGTTGCAGAGCATCAGGGCCAAGCTACAGAGGGGACTGCTGTCTGCAGCCTTGAGATTGTGAAGACCGGCTATGAGAGGGAAGTATGTCTTACCTATCAGAAAAGAAAAATAAAATATCAGAGTTACAATGGGTTTTAACATCTCAGAGGAGGAAAAAAGAATGTTAGGGAAGTCTTGACTCTGGGTGAAGGTAATGCGTTTGCCCCTTACTCTTTCATTCATAGCCTCTTAGTGAAAAAGAAGTAAATGAGATTTCTTTTGTGTAACTTTGTAGTCTCTTCGTATTACCAAATAGTTGAGGTCTTGACCCCTTCCAGCCCCCCCCCCCCAATCCCCAGTGTGTTTTGCAAGAGTGTGTGGTAAACACAGAAAACGGAAGTCATGGGAGTGGTGGTAGAGTCTGTTGGGGAGTGGCAGGGGATGATTTGTTTTTTGGGAAAATGTCCACATTGTAACTTTTAAACTTATGATAAACTATGTGAAAGCAGTGGTGGAGATCCATCATATGTATTAAAGCAAATATGGTTTGTAATCAAGAAAGGAGTGTGCTGGTGTTATTTTTTTTTTAACAACTTCTCCTCCATTCTCCTCTCCAGATCTTGGGCACACACGCACATGTGCCCGGCGTGAGTTTAAGTCACCAAGTCCGGGACCCAAACTGCAGTCGACTACATGGGAGTCCAGCGACATAGCCATTACGCTAACTGCTGGTCCCCATAGGCTGGAACTTCTGAGCTTTGTCCACCAGAGCACAGTTCTGTCTGAGATGTGCACTGAGAGTCCTATTATGCCCCACTTCTCAGCCCTTATCCTGGGTAGGGGAAGGAGTCTCAGGAAGGAGCAAGAAGGGAGAGGCCAAGACCACCTGGAGTAGCAGCTACGGGCTGAAGGGCGCTAAATGCAGCCAGAATGGAGTAATACCTTTCCAAGGTTAAGGCTCGTGGATCCTGAGAAACATACTGGGAAACATTGGTTCAGTGTTGATCCAGTTCACAGATAATTCATTTCCTACTGTTGTTGGGGCAGTTAGAAAAACTAAAACAAGGTACTTGTGATAGAACCTCGTTGCATACTAAAATGGAAGCAAATATTGATGTCATTTAGTCTCTTCTTGATTCAGGTACTTGAGAATTTCCTTTAGTACCGCTTCCTGTTTTAGTCAAAGATTTAGATGAGTTATTTCCTTTGGGATTAATATCCAGGTTCTGAATAGCAGATGGCTAATGTCAAAATGAATCTCAGTGGCATAATAGGAGTCCTTTGCCACTGACTGCTAATACTTTTTCTGTCATTTCCTTGGAAATCACATTGCCCAAATCACATCGGAAATCATCTGGTCCTCTGTGCTGCACCTGTTCCTCTGTGTGTAATCTAAATGGTATTTTCGATTGAATTCAAAAGGATTCAGTGAAAAGTGTTTTAATTCCTTACATACCATACATTTTCCTGCAATGATGTGTCAAAGCCAAAACTGACTAAAAAGCCTTTGCAATGCTTTTTCACTCTTATTTTCAGGGAAAAACATCTTGCCCAAACATTTAAGTATCCATAATGTACAGAACTCAATATTGGGCACTCGGGTGCAAAAGGGAGCCTACCATGGTTCTCATTTGCAGATTAGTTTGAGGAGAGAATTCCCACTCACTAAGTAGCCTAACAGTGCAGCATTCACTGTCATGTGACTACTTCAGTGTCAGTGTGATGAGTACCGCATCCATTCATTTCAGGGCTTAGGGAAGCTTCCCGGAGATGTTAAGTAGCAATTTGGCAGAGGCGAAAGAAATGAGCGGTCCTGGAAGGTGTGTGCTGTGGCAGACACAAAGCTGTGAATAAGCATTAACGTGAAGAGTGGCATAAAGAACGCTTTGTGGGCCAGCTAGGTGACGTGGTGGTGAAGACAGCTGGGTCACAAATGGCCAATTCCGCTCTAGAAGTCTTAGACCCAGTAGCTTGAAGAACACCAGGCACATGTGCATGTGCATGGCCCAAATCCTAAGAAGAGAATGAAAGAGAAGAGATTGTGGTATGACCATCCCTCCTGGAGGGGGGGGAGATGCTTTCTCACTTTGTCTCTGTGGCAAACACATATACTCTATAGCAAATCTTTAAAGCTAGGAGGCCAGCCTGTGGTGTGGTTAAGGTGCTGGACTCCCACATGACCAGTTGTGGTTCGAGTCCCAGACCTGGCGGCTTGCTTTCTTATTTTCCCCTTCTCTCACACTCTCTGTTTCTTTGGTCAAATTTAAAAACAACGATAAATAATAACAAAATTAAAGAAATAATTTTTAAAAATTAGGGCCAGCAGGTTGTGTAGAGTATAAGGGGGCTGAATCCCACACAGCTGGGAATGTGTACATGCAAGCCCCAAATCCCAGAAGAATGGAAGAGAAGGGATTGCAGTGTGGCCATCCCCCAGGTGGTAGCTCTCACTTTCCTTCCCTCTCTCTGTCTCTGGCAAGTGCACGCACACTAACACGAAAACAAAATGAAAAGGAAAAAAAAAGAAACTGCCACTACTTTTATTTCCTTTCCTTTCTCTCCCCTCACCGCACTCCAGTGTGGTTTTTATCTCATGTGTGAAACAGTAATTATCTGATGTATAAAATATGCTAGGATTTGCTTTCTATTCATTCTTTTTTTTAGAATTATTTAACATATATATTTATTTTAATTTGACCAGAGAGGGACAGAGGGACCAGCAGTTAGCGTTATGGCTGTCACTGGACTCCCATGTAGTCGACCATGGTTCGAGTCCCAGACCCGGTGGCTTAAACTCAGGCTGGGCGCGTGTGCATGTGTGCCCATGATCCAGAGAGGAGAATGGAGGAGAAGGGATTGCGGTGTGGCCATCCCCCCTGGGGGGTGATTTCTCGCTTTCTGTCTCTCTGTCTCTGTCTGGCGAGCGCACACGCCCTATAGCAAAAACCTCTCCAAAAAAATAATAATAAAAAAAAAAGAGCGAGAGAGTGAGAGACGGAGGAAAAGAGAGAAAGCAAGCCGCCAGGTCTGAGACTTAAACTGTGGCCAGCCATGTGGGAGTCCAGCGCCCTTCACCATTTATAATCATTCTTATCACTGGTGTTCTAACTGCCATATCCCTTGAACACTTTTTTTTTAAAGAATTATTTTATTTGACTTTATTTATTATTATTATCATTATTATTTTCCAGTTTGATCAGAGAGAGAGAGAGAGAGAGAGGAAGTGAGAAAGCAAGCCACCAGGTCCAAGACTTGAACCGTGGTCGGCCATGTGGGAGTCCAGCGCCTTTTACCATCATGCCACTTGCCGACCCCTCCCTTGAATTCTTTGTCTTACTTTCTGTCCTAGTCTTACTCCCTCAACCTACTGCACTCACTTTTTTAAAAAACACCCCCGGCCTCTGACTTGTTGGTTGTTCCCCTGCCCATCACTTAAATGTTGATACTTCTCAGAGCAGTGCCTTTGCCCTCGTTCCCATTCACGTGTTCTCCCCCCATACGGTGGCTTCAACTACTGCTGTTGGAATGAGGTCTTCAAAAACCCTTTTACGGACTTACCCTCTGACCACTTCCCCAAACTGTAGATCCCATGTAGCCAGGTGCCTCCTAGACCGTCTGGAAGGTCTCCTGCAGGCTCAAATGAAAGCTATTCAAATGCATAGTTTTGTTTTTTAAAAGACAATTCACTATACACATTTTATTTACAATTGTGTACACTGTCTTATGAAAGAGACCGCTTTTCTGTTTGAGCCTTTTTTAAAAAAAGAATTATTTATTTAATTCCATTTGTTATTTTTAATTTGACCAGAGGCATAGAAGGGGGAAGTGAGAAAGCAAACTGCCAGGTCTGGGACTTGAACCACAATTGGCCATGTGGGAATCCAGCGCCTTTAACTACTGTACCATCTGCTGGCTCCTCTATTTGAGTCATTTTTAACCAAAGCAAAATAACCTAAGTAATACAAAGTGTTAAAATACAGCATAAAGATACAAAAACACATAGTAATTCTAGTTAGGGATGCATTTATGATGTTACTTTTTTATGTAAAAAATTTATTTTTAGGTATCACACAAACATAGATCACAGTTTTGAATGAAATGTATTAATTTGATGGGCTGGTAGGTGGTGTGGTGGTTAACGGCAGTGACTCCCACGTGGCCCACTGTGGTTCAAGTCCTGGACCTGGTGGCTTGCTTTCTCACTTTCTGTCTCCCACTCACTCTGTCCCTCTTTAGTCAAATAAATGAAGTTAAGTAAAATAATCCTTTGGGGAAAAATGTTTAAATTTGTAGCAAAGCTCTGTAGTTACAAAAAATTACCAAAGAATGCATAAAATTAATGTTTATTCCACTTTTGTGTCATATTCCTGGATCCTTCACCAATGTTACATGAGGAAAACAAATGAAAAACTATAATCAGAATTATTAACGTTATCAAGTAGGGAAACAAAATCTAGCAGTCATCAGCAATGTTGTAAAAAGAAGACAAAGAAATTGTTAGGAAACTATGCATCATACTCTTTCAAACCAGCAAAATATGCTCCTACATACAATGGAACCTAATTTTCTTTTCCTGGAAGGTATAGAAATGCAAGTTCCTTTTTTGAATATTGTGAATGGCTAAAATATGTGTTTGTAATGGTAATTCTAAGCTATTACAGAGCAGGCCGGGAACATATTTATTATGTATTCTGGGGACGAAGTGTACTGTAATTCTTTGATTGGGAAAATGAACATTAACCAAAACTAAAAACCAAAAATGAACACAAGTATAAGACAAAGGTGGATGAGACTTCTTATAAATCTTAGCAACGTTTAGATGGAAATCTAGTTTAAAGGCAGTCCACCCTGCCTTTGAAGAGGCTTTTGTTCAGCTCCCAAATCTTGATTGCTTGACGAAGTCTCCTATGGGAATACGCAGGTGAACAACCTATTTTTAGTGGTGGAGTCACTCTTCCGTAGCTGTCTGCATGGGACTGATAACCAGTCGCTGTCTTTGGAGGAAGTCCTAACCTTCCCCTGCATGCTCCCCTGTATGTGTAACAGCCTGTTTTCACAGTCGTCCATATTGCTGTCTTACCGTCTTGCTCTAGCACTAACAGCTCTACACATCGTCGCGGTAGT